TAGTAAGAGGCAGTGATGGTTCATATTTGCACAAACTTGTCAAAGTAAGAAGGCCTCTTTTGCGAATTCCAACCTTGGCAATTCATCTTGACCGGTTTGTGCCCCATTATTATCTTTTCGTTCATGGTTGACCTGCTTCTCGAGTTACTTATTTTTGGGGAAATTTAAAGAAAGGAACAAGTTTATAGATATTAAGAAATTACAAAAAGGATTGCTAACTCATGTGGGACTTATTCAAAAGGTCCAAAGGACTAAGCCTGCACCACTTGGAGCCAAAATATAATCTTATCCTATGGTAAACGAGGGCGATGGTGTGGTTCATTGGTGCTCTTTTCTAATAAGGGTCGTTATTTTGTGGGTTGCCTGCTTTTGATTAACTAAAGTTGTTGATTACATCCTATTGGTCGCTGTAAGGGCAGGGTTTCATATATTACAAGAAGAAGAAAAAAAGCCTATATAATCCTCAGATTTTTTTGGATTTTTAGATTTCCAACATATTGTATAGGTTTGGTGATGACTCTTTTAAGCATATTGTTAATATTCTTTTATTATATTATACATGATATTTTTAACATATTCAAAATGTTTTACTATTCCCTTTTCTTCTTGTCATGGTGATCTTGGTTTCTTCAGCACAGTGAACCAGGATGGGTTTAAGCCAAACTTAGAAACTCATCTTATTCCGTTGATGGCAATGAAGATGGAAGACAATTCAATGGAGTCGAAAAATGAAGGCAATGATCCGTTATTGAAGGATGCCCTACATCCACTTCTGAAACAGGTATTGTTTTCTAGAACTTTAACAACTATTAAGTATTTTTTAATTTGTAGAGAGAAAAGGGGGAGGGTATTGTCTAGGACATCTTTTCTCGAGAATCTAAGATCATGTGGCAAAGCAGTTACTTGGGACACTTACTTCCACCCCCTCCTCTCCACCGCACACTCAATGAGCTGCAGTTGCTTATGAGGAACTGACTTAGGATGGGCACGGAACTTGTAATACCCAAACTATCCATAGACCATGATAAACAATCCAAAGAAAGAAGGAAAGTCATTCATGCTGCACTCAGTGATCTTAATCAAATTCGTGTCCTATGGACATAAGCACTAAAATTTTCTATGGTATTAAATAAAATAATGATTTTTTTTAAGTCTCTTAAACCAACATGCATGGGATGGTTTTTATAGTTTTATGTTGGTAGTTTAAATAATTTTTTCTTATTTTCAAATTCCAATTTTTTTTGAAAGATTTGCACAAACATACATTATTATTGAACTAAAATTTTGAGAGTAGTAATTTATTGTTTGGTTGGGAATTTGAACGCCTTATGTTACTGAAGTTGTAGTTAAACTATAAATTATCTAGGAGTCAGTGCTTTAACTTGATTGACAGGTCATATCAGAAGAGCTCTGTTGTGCAGCTGATGATATAGTGAGCTTTGAGTTGAACGTGTGTGATACCCAACCTAGCTGTCTTGGAGGCGGAAATGAGGAGTTTATTCTCTCAGGAAGATTAGATAACCTCGCATCAAGCTATTGTGCATTCAGAGCTCTTATTGATTCTTGTGGGTCTCATGGTGACTTAATAAGTGAACAGGCAGTTCGAATGGTTGCTTTGTTTGATAATGAAGAGGTAAGACTTTTCTTGTGTACTTCGTGAATTATATGTATACTGAAAGTTACGCATCCCATGGATTGGTAAAAAAATCCTAGTATATTTGGTCCCCCGGTGAAATTTCTTTTCAATTTGATCACGCCCATTGATGATAAGATAGTACTGCCCACCAAGTAAAGACTGAAGTTTTTTTAGGCTCCTCTGATCACCAGATATGAATTTTATTTCTGTTTCCTTCAGCCATCAGAAAAGAAATTGAGTAGGAGAAAAAGATGAATGATAGAGGCTAAGCACATGACCACTTAAGAGATCAGAAGTTTCCCTATCATTTTAATTCCATGAGCATTTAGTCTTTAGATGTAACAACCCAATCTCACCGCTAGCAGATACTGTCCGCTTTGACCTGTTATGCATCGCCGTCAGCCTTATGGTTTTAAAATGTGTCTTCTAGGGAGAGGTTTCCACACCCTTATAAGGAATGATTCGTTTCCCTCTCTAACTAATGTGAGATCTCACAATCTACCCCCTTGGGACCCAGCGTCTTCACTGGCACACCATCCGGTGTCTGGCTCTAATACCATTTGTAACAACCTAAGCCCACCGCAAATAGATATTGTTCGCTTTAGCCCGTTACGTATCGCCATCAACCTCACGGTTTTAAAATGCGACTGCTAGGGAGAGGTTTCCATGCCCTTATAAGGAGTGTTTGTTCTCCTCTCCAACCAACGTAGGATCTCAAATTAGGTTTTGCCAATTATACAGGAGACAGTGATGATTATTGGTTGAACCATATGGCAAGAATATAAAATATAGACCCTTCTCCATATCTCCTCTCAGCATCTTCTATTTCGTAGGTTGATAAAATGAGGGAAAGCTATAGGCTTCTAATATAAAACTTCCAACTTCCATGTTTTTTACTTCTTACCACCCCACACCATAACCTTATTCCATACCTCAAAGCTATGTTCATTTTTTTCCATGTAGCCTATATTCACGCCAAGGATGATGTTGGTTTGATTTCTGTGGATTTGAGCCTCTTTTTTAGTTAGTTTTGAGCTTCCATCACGTCCTCTTTTGAGGGTTGTTTTTTGTATGGTCGAGTTTTTCTTTCATAAATGAAACTTCTGTTTCTTACTAATATATGTATATTCACTCCAAGGATGTCTGCTGAAACAAGATCCTTCAGTTATTTAAATGATATTTGGAAGGCCATTGATGAATTTTCTCTTTTATTCGTATTAATATTCTCTTGCGTTTGTCTTTGATTTAACTCGTCCTAGTATACAATCATTTCATGACCGCTATTTCATATTTATAGTCGTTAACTTTTCCTGTTTAGGTGGGTTCAGGTTCAATTCAGGGAGCTGGTGCACCCACCATGTTTCAGGCCATGAGGCGCGTAGCCAGCGACATCGCTCAAGGACATGTTGGTGAAGGTGTTTTTGAGCGTGCTTTTAGGCAATCATTTCTTGGTACGTTTCAATTCGAGTATAAGAAGGATCAATTACTAATTTTACTTACTGGACCTTCGTGAATAGCCACGGTTAAATTAAAGATTGCTACTTTGGCTCGCGCTTGGATTGATTTCTTACCACCTTGGTGTTTTGTCGTTTAATTTGAATCATTTTATTTGGTTATGTATTATATTCTTAATAGTGTCTGCGGACATGGCCCACGGAGTTCATCCAAATTTCATGGATAAGCATGAAGAACACCATAGACCAGAAATGCAAAAGGGACTTGTCATAAAGCACAATGCCAACCAGCGCTATGCTACAAGCGGAGTCACAGCTTTTCTTTTCAGAGAATTAGGCCGAATTCATAACCTACCAACGCAGGTATGTGCCTACCTTGAAACAATATTTTTTTAGCTTCTTACTCTTCCCCATTGTTTAATTATTATAGGGCATTGGTTATGAGTGGTAACCGTTTATTGATTTTGTAAATTGGAATATTCACGGTTGCTGCCTGTTGTGATGGTAGGATTTTGTTGTGAGAAATGATATGGGTTGTGGGTCTACCATCGGTCCAATACTTGCTTCTGGAGTTGGCATCCGTACAGTGGATTGTGGTATCCCTCAACTTTCCATGCACAGGTATTCCCCCTCTTGACTGTGTATGTTATATTATAGCGCTCCATTCATTAAGGTCTGAATAGAATTTTGAATTATTATTGAATTATGAAATAAATAAATCCAATTTTCAATGTGGCAAGTGGGTACACATTTAGTCTGGAAAAAAAAAAAGAAAAAAAGAAAACGGCCATCATAAAATTGGCCTTCAAAATGGAACTTACTCTCCAACCTTTTATTTTTTTTAAAAATAATTATATATTTTTACTGACGTTTCTATTTGGAGAAAAAAAAAAGATTATTTTCGCAATCATCAAGTTTTAAAATCTAAAAAGATTAGTTTGTAGAAACCTTTCTTTTGTGAATGTTTGACTAAGATAACCAGTGATTTTAAGATGGAATATAAAATACTTTCAATTCCATGCTATACCTTTGTGAATTTTTATAAAAATATTGTAATTGACAAAATTAAAAATTTAAGAACTTATTAGTCACAATTAAAAGTTGCCTATTAGACTTGAAGCTTTTAATTCTTTTCTCTAAGATGGAATAATTTTAAGACCATTGAATGTTGGCATATGACAATTTTGGATTTAAGTTTGTTTAATAATATTTTGCAAATAGTTTTGGTATTATAATGTGAAAATGTGTTCATGATCATTCTTTGTGCATATATGTTATGGCAGCATAAGAGAAATTTGCGGGAAAGAAGATATAGACACAGCTTACAAATATTTCAAGGCATTCTATCAATCGTTTTCAAGCATAGACCGAAAACTGAAGGTGGACACCTGAATCAAAGATAAAACCAAATAAGGTTATTGTCAATTTATTCAAGGCTACGGGAAAATATTATTTTCCCCACGTATGTGTGTTCTAATCTCATATGTCCAAGAATATGTGATTTCCCTCCTGAATTAGGTGTCTTATTCTTTTATTTTGCTTATCCCAAGATTTCAACCTTCTCCAAATCATTTAATGTATATTTCAATCTATTTTTCTCTCAAATTTTCAGGAATTTAGAGACGCAATAGTTAGAGAATGTGTTTACATTAGAATATTTTTAAGATAAGAGTTTGAATTCCATGAAGGAATTTGAAATTTTGAAACTTGGTTTTTATTTTCAGGATTTTAAATACAACAATAAGTTTAAGAGATTTGAAATTAAGAAAGAAAAAGCATAAAATTTATCACAGAATACCTCGTTTACCCACAATTTAATTTTGCAATCTAATCTTTTAAATCCTAAGAAAATGAAAATGTGTACAGGTAAAAACAAAGAGAGAAGGAATTCGTATCTTACGATGTGGATGTCAACAAAAGTTGGTGCCTGTGAGAGGAAGCCATTAGCAGCAAAGTCAAGCAAATGACTTCCCTTACCACCTTCGTCGATTCATTATTAAACACTGGACCTTACAATTACATGCCAAACGACTGTGTTATAACCGTGCTTTATACAATACTATATTACTCGAGATGAGAGCAACATGAAAATAATAAACGAGTTGGTTACCTAATATCATATGCTTTTGTATTCTTTTACGGAGGAGATAGAGAGAAAATAACATCTCAACATCATAGGAGGCAAAAGGAAAGGAGAGCTCTTATCTGCTGCGATTCTCAATCATTCCTATAATCCATAACGGAAATAAAGGGAGATGGCAAAATAAGTTATGCAGAAGAAAGGGTTTATTACCTGAGAACGGGGCTGATGAACAAAAGGAGAGGAATTCACAAATATGCGTGATTGGAGTGTTGCACCAACGCTTGCACTATAAGGCCAAATGACTCTCTAAACCACCATACCTTATAATATATGCCGCGCCAATCGCGTAAACCATGGGCGACCTACATAGTGTGGAAACTCAGTACTATTAGTTCGCAACAAGGCACGCGGGACTCACAAGTTATGCAGCAAGGGCTTAAAAATCTATTTACCATGCCTTTTTCATCGAATTAACCAACCAAACAACACTAGCTAATTAATAAACCAACAAAGCACAGAAAACAAATTAAGAATACAACAAGCTATAATAGATTATGCAAGGAGTCTCCAACTTACTAATGAAAAGAGTTGAATCATCGAATGTATCAGCATAACATATTAAAACGTCCAGCAACTGGAAAAACTACTAAGAACACCGCCTCTGTGAGCTCATCGTAGACATTAATGCATATAGAAAAGGAAAGGAAACCAATGATATTTAGTCGCCAATTTTCTTCAATTTGTATCCTACCAAATATGTTATTAGAAAATTCGTCTTCAGAGAATCAAACGGAAAAAACTACTTAGATCACCGTCACTGGGAACTTAATGTATACATGTATGCATATAGGAAAGGAAAGAAAGCCTATGATACAGCCAACAATTTATTCTATCTACTTTGTACAGAAAATGTTATTAGACAATTATTTCCAGAAATCATATGGAAAAGCTACTTAGAACACCATCTCTGAGAACTCAATTAGACATAAATGCATGTAGAAAATATACACTCAGCTATTTATTTTATCTACCTAGAGGAAAAACTATTTTGAACACCGCCTCTGAGAACTCAACTTAAACATAAATGCATATAGAAAATAAAAGGAAAGGAAAGAAAACCTACGACTCAATCAGCAATTTTATTCTATCTGCCTTGTTCAAAAGAACGATTAGAGGATTCTTCTAAGAAATCAAGTTTAAAAACTACCTATACTACAACCTCTGTGCACTCAATGTAGCCATCAGTGAATGTATAAAAGAAAATGCAACTTACGACATCATAAGCGATTTTATTCTATCTGCCTTAGAAAACGCTATTAGAGAATTCTTTCAAGAAATCAGCACCAACAGAAACAAATACCGCACAAATAACATGATGTTAAGTGGAATGATTCGGACAAGTATAACAGACAGCTACGACTTGAAATTAATAATAAACTACATCCTCTAGGATTCGGAAAGTCCTCGCGAAGGAGGAACCGACCAACCTGAGTGATAGAATCCTCGGACAGTTCAGCAGGAACCGAACGATCTGAGCGAGCAGCACCGCCAACGGAATGCTCCAAGGCATTAGAATTTTGATTGGCAGAAGCGGAGGCCAGTGTCCATCGTTTCAAGGCCTCATCCATCTCAGCGACCTCCCTGACTCGGGACCTTCGCGATCCTCCGCTGCAGAGCGCTCCATGATAAAACAAAGGACCGAAACTCTAAACTCCTGGCAGCAATAGAGGCATTAGAAAAAGAAAAAAAAAAAAAGAAGCAGATAATCGAAATGCAAAATCTCAAGGAATTAGGTTTTTGGCATCGGAAAGCTGTAGCACAAGAAAGAAATTCGAGGAACGAAATTTGGCGCGATTGATACGACGGTGGATTTCCCGATCGATTTCGATCGCAGCAAGAGAAGAATTGGAGAGAAAATGCATCAAAACGAAGATCGCAGACAAACAAAGGAATTCTGGTTGCATAGAATCACTAGGGATAATAGTTCCCCTGTCGAAGTCCCTAACTAAACTTTGGCGGGAAACTGACGAAGAAGAGAGAAAACGAATGAATGTAACACGATGGGTTGCCGTGGATTGTCGCGATTCGGATTTCAGTATTTATAGTGCAGATAATAAGTATATTTAAATATTAGGGTTCGAATCCTCTCCCCCAAAAACTAATAAAATTAATGCATATTTAATTTTCTATTTTTCCACTATATTTTGATCTCTTGATTTATTAGTTCTTTTATTAGGTTGCTTTATTTGTTTCAATATGTATATTTAGTCTCTTATTTTATATTTTAAAATTTTAAAATAATTTCAATTAAAAGGTTAATTTCTCTAATCAATGAAATTTTATAATAAGCAAATGGTTAAAACCACACATAATAAATAGCCTAACAAATTAGATGTTAGATTTTTTAATACTGAAAAATTCAAATTAAAAGATAAAATAGTTACTTTTCAAGTTATGCTGAATATATGCTCCATTTAGCATATATTTGAATCTATTATCTTTTGAAACAATATTTCTAAATCAATTTTTTTTCACATTATATAAATAGAATGGATAAAAATTATACATTTTTTTTTAATTCTTTTATCTTTTTAAATATAGTGTCCAATATTTTTTTCTCCTAAAATATAAAACAATTGTGATAATTTAATTGATAAGAAGGAAGGATAAGGTCCTCATTATTAAAAAAAAAAAAAATATATATATATATATATATATATATATATATATATATAATTAGAAAATAACTAAGATAATTTCAATTTTGAAGCCTCAATTTTCACAATTATATTACTATATTTTCAATGAAAAGAAAATGCAGTCTAATTTAAAAGATAAAACAAGTATATTTTCATCATAAACCCTTTACTTAATAATAATTATTATAAAAATTAAATGTAAGGAAAAATAAGGAGAATTCCTTAACTATGAATCATCAGCGTATATTGTCTCCTGCTTAGACTGATAAATCCCATAAAAATTACCGATAGTTTTCAAGGAGTTCTAGTTTCATAAAGAATTCCTAAAAGGGAGAATATTTATTATCGACTTGTCTGTTGTCACATCGTTTTGACACTAAGATGACTAACTAATACCCTATTTGAAGCTTAAAAACTGCCACATTTGGAGCTTTTTTTGGTTGTTCAACGAGTGGGGAGTGGGCCAAACCAAGGGAAAAGCACTTGAATAAACAAAATTTCAATGATCTTTTCAAAAAATCAGATTGAAAATCGAAGAGAACTTCCAAACAGTCTCAACTTCTTCTCCACAACAATGTTCAGAACCTATAATTAACATTCATCATATACAATCAGTCTAAAATTATATTAAACAAAATATAGAAAGGTGTTGAAGTAATGATACCGAGATTCTTCAGGATAAGAGAAGCTGAAGATATGGTGTATGCCGTAAGCTGGTTGAGGCATATCCCTCAACTTACATTCGAAGTACGAACTTGATGCGGATTCGCAAAGAGAACCCTCCATTTTTCATCAAAGCTCGACACAGACCGAGGCTGCGTTTCTAAAGATTACATACCTGCCCATCAAGGGTGAAATTGCCACTCGATCCCATGTGTAGCCGATTCCCAGATTTGCTCGAACTGCTAAAGATGATCAGGAAATGAAACACGCTTTCCGTCCCACGCATCCATCTTTGTCCTTGCAACAAGAAGGCATCGCAAGTGTTGTTAATTTTAAGGATCTTCCCTGGTGGTAGCATCATTAAAATGAAATCAAAACTAATCTGAGCACTTACAGGATTTGGTAGAGTTCAGAGCAAAAACGAGAAATCGATGTTGACGAAATTCTGAGATTTCCAAATGGTACTCGAGCTGCAGCAACAGATCTCATTGATCCGAACATTTTTCCCATGTTTGATCTTCTCTGGGTTGTGTGACTGATCTTTCTTCCATGACATTCCATTTCACCAAATTTTAGGCATTCTTACAAGCACAGCTCTAGTTTTGCAATGACGAAAAACCATATCCTCCCGTATGCTGAAAATGTCGACAAAATAACTGAAGAACTGGAACAAAACCTCATGGTAGATGAGAAGCCAAACAAAAGAATACTCCAAGAAGATATTAAACCAGTCATGAACACTCAAAAAGATATTAAACCAATCATCCATGACACAAAAGAAATCTCAGGAAAAATGCAAATGATTCCTGGTCTAGAGATATGATGATGATAGGCCAGGATGGCTATGCCATAGAAGATAATCATTAAAAATTAGAGACCAACAGAATTTTCCATGTCATATAGCTGTCGGAATATCCATTTAGGACTATCAAAAACACGAACAGATGGTCATCTAAAAGTCACGTACGACAGTGCAAAGCGCAGGATTGTGGAGACCAAACATGAAATGAAGAAATCCCCTAGTTCAGAATCAACAGCCTCCAACATCCTTTCAACAATAATCTCACCTTCCATTGACTGTAACCTTAGAAAGTTAGAACTACAGAACCAGAGAAAATGATAATTCTTTGTTAATGCTTACAACTATATGCACAGACAAAAAGCCAACAAATATTACAGAATGACACTTTTTTACCCCCGTTCTCATTTTATCACGTTTCTTTTAAGTTCAACTTAGAGAGAGTGAGCAGGTAGGGTAGGCAGGGTGGCAGTTAATATAACGTTAAAAGAATCCCATACCTTCGTCCAAGATCTTGCAGGAACATTCCCAGCAAATTGTTGATTCTTATATTTAACTTTTCATCATTATCAGTGGCAAGAGCAACCTGAACAGCTCAGCCTACTAACGCAAGTTCCAAAGCAATGAGTTTCTTCATCAACTATAAGAGATGCAAGAAGCTCCCAGGAAACTGATGGTGGGAAGAAGCATATCAAGTCCCAGAAAATGTAAATCCTTCTTCTATGCCCACATCAGTTCTTTATGCCTGCCCCCTGCCATTTCAAGTAAATAAATGTGCACTGAAAAGCCCACGATATATTTTAACTACCAGATGGCAGGGAGCAGGCATGGCCCATGCCCCTCACCGGGGCCGTGCTAAACCAAAACCTGCATCTGGTTGCTGTTGGTATTGCTGCAAAATCATAAGATCAGGATCAAAATGGTGTGCGAGTGAAAAAGAACACACTCTGCTACATTGTCTTTAACTACGCACAAAAGGAAACTTTGCTCGCTAATTTTCTCTTTTTTTTTCTTTGACTAACTGCCCTTTTTTGACTTATAACTGTAATCACTTGCAGGAAGATTCGAAGAGTTATACGTCCAGTGGGGTGATCACTTACAAGCGGTAGGATAGCTACTGATAAAATATCACCAGCACAAATATCCAAGAAAGAGAATAGCTTTGGAATAAAAAGTTTGTTGCACCAAAAATTCAAATTCAATAAAACAGTTGAAAAGTCTAAACCTGTGTAAAAGGTTGATAAGTTTGTTCATGAGGATGGATAAAATGCATTCCAGACTGCTGACCGGGATACTGAGAGGAATGCAGATATACACCAGAAGATGAATGCGCATCGACATTTGGATTAAAAGGTCTAACCATTGCTTCTCGATGACCATACCCCAAACCTGCAGGAGATGATTGGGCATTCCATGGCCCAGGTACGTGGGAAGGGAGTGGTCTAGGCTGACATTCTGAAACAGCCTGTCTATGAGCAGAGCCAAGTTGTGGAAATTCAGTGTTGTAGTTCACTGCAGGAGCATACATGGGCTGCACAGTGTATGGGCCGCCACTGAAGCCAAACCCAGGGTCGAATCTCTGCATATACCTGAAGAAGGATTTTACAACCAGAAATTTGGCTAAATTACTATCCCAACAATAAAAGTCAGGATGCACCTCTGATGTTAAAATTTCTAAATAGAAAAGTCACGCTTGTCAATTAACAGCTTGTTACTTCATCGTCTAGCAGTTGATTCATGACTTGAAAATACCTTACTTTGTGTATCATAAAAAGTTATGTTCTGTAATAAATGTTTGCACATGATTAATCCTCAAAAAAAATTTAGAGAACCCTAACTGTCACCAATTAATAATAAAATGTATTTAATTCAAATTGTTTATCTCAACAGGAACACGGTAAAGAGGTCAAGAGAGAATAAATGGGAAGCTTTGGATCTATTCAAAAACCGGTTCATCCATCTCCTACCAAAAGAAGCAGACAATTGAAAAAAAATTGAGATCAGGCCAAGAGAAAAATGATTGCATTCCGTACCTATCATAGCTCCTGTCATAATCAGGATCCTTGATATCGATCTCACGATCTCTAAAAATGGCTACCCTACTATTTGGTTTGTGCACCTGCCTTATAGGAAGCTCCTTGTCAGTCCTACTTCTACTTATTCTACTGCTACTCGTAGAACAGTCAATCAAGCCCCTACTAAAATTTGTATCAGGAACTCCTGAAATCATCTTCTCCTCAACCTTTGCAGCACCCAAGGAACCACGATAACTATCCTGTAGTCTAGGATCGGCATCTACTTTCACACCTGCATGACTACCTGAATTACTGCTGCAATTGAATATACGAGCACGAGCTTTATTATACTCCTCCTTCCTTTCTTCCACACTTTTGGAGCCACTTGTTTTCGATGAATTGGCACTGGCATCTTTAGCTACTTGAGACCGTTTCTGTGGCCTCTGTTTGATAGCAACCTTCATGGTACTATTTTCCTCTGTTGGAAGATTTACGGGAATATCTGCAAGGCGGATAGCTGGAAGACGGCATTCAGAAGTCTTACTAACAATAATTTTGGAACCAGATCCATCAGGTAAACTATTGTCCAATAGAACCATGGACTGCAGTGAATAATGTTGGGCCACCCGATGGGCAGCTAGCCGTAAATATGAAGTAGGCAACTGCTGGAACTCTAGCTGTTGTCGAGCAGGATCCCGGATAAATTTCTCAACATCTTGCTCCATGCGCAAAACTAAAGCAATGATAAATATTCAATATCATCCGTTAAGGGGTATAAATCGTAAACACCATGTTTTCAACAATATAAACAGTGCCCATAAATTATGAGTGACAAAACTGACTCCACTTTGATTTGATAAAGATGGAGTATAATTATAAATGGAATTGGAAAGCGCAGACCAACCAGAGGAATGAAATTCATCTA